CTCCCTCCCTCCCCTCTCACCTGTACAGGACAAATCACCAAAGTCCCACTGTCCAGTTCTAAGACAAGTGACCGTACTGTTCCGCGCCACCTCGCTGCTCCCCGTTAGCTCAAAGTCTGTGTCACACTCAAACACAAACGTGGATCCGAACCGGTTCCCTCCGCGCTGTGTGTACCGGCTGCCTGCCTCCTGAGGCGGTTCTCCACACGTCACGTCTGAAACAACACGTCATATGTGTGGGTCACGACGCGGTGGAATCATGCGCTCGTCAATTTTGGGCCATATGGCGATATTGGTATTATCTAAAAGGTTGTTCATTTCCTTGCTTTCGATGAAAAAAATATCTTTTAATTAACTTGAGCAGAAGTCGAGATATCTGCAATTGAAGGAGGTCAGTGTCGCCTGGTTTTAGGGGTAAAGTTAGCGAGGAAATGGCGGCCAAAGTTTGGTAAATTCCATAGACAGAGTACTTGGAAACTGAACATTTACATTTTTGTGCCTTTATTCAATGTTTTTCAGTAACATTCAAACAAAACTGTGTTTTTAAAAGGACATAAAAGGTGTTGGGACAAATAAAGATGAAAATTAGAAGAAAAAAATGCTGATTTCTTTGATCTCATGACTTTGACGAGCGCCTGATCTCTCCACGATGCCTCAATATGTGTGTCTCGACGACGCGGTGAAATCAGGCGCTCGTCAATTTTTGGGCATGTGGAGTTATTGGTATCATGTGAAAGCTCATTTATCACTACTCACAATCACATTCACAATCCTTACTCACAATCACATTCACAATCCCACTCTGACCCACCTACACACAATCACATTCACAGTCCCACTCTGACCCATCTACTCACAATTCCAATCACAATCCCACTTTGACCCATCTACATATAATCACTTCCACAATCCCTACTCACAAAGACATTCACAATCCCTACTCACAATCACATTCACAGTCCCACTCTGACCCACCTACTCACAATCACATTCACAATCCCTAATCACAATTCACATTCACAATCCCAGTCTGACCTATCTACCTGACATTCACATTCACAATGTCTCTCCTGCTACTCACAATCACATTCCCAATCCCTACCTACAATCACATTAACAATCCCTACTCACAATCACATTCACAATCCCTACTTACAATCACATTCACAATCCCTACTCACAATCACATTCACAATCCCCACTCACAATCACACTCGTAGTCCTGCACGGACCCATCCAGCTTGTACTCCTGGTCTAGATAGGTACACTGTCTCCTCCTTGTGAACACCGGGGAAGGTTCGAACCCCGGCCTATCGCACGTGATGGTGACGTATTCGCCGTACATGATGTCGGCAGACGTGGGGCTCAGAGTTCCCGGGTTCATCAGACCGGGGGGTATCTGGTCTACTGGACATCTGGCTCCTGGGGGGGGAGGGA